GAGTCATGTTTAGCCAAAATATGTTTTTATGGAAAAAATGCAGCATTATTCCACATCTCAAACTAGTTCATACTGAGGATCGAGTATCAGAAAAGCTCCTGACATTTGATTCATAACAAATTTCCAAAAAAACAGATGTTCAACAGAAAAGACTTCTAGCCTATTTGAAACAAGCTCTGGGTTCTCATTAACTTATGGTACTGATTTTAAATTCATTTATTATTATCAATTATTATTATAATTCATATTGTTAGTTATGAAAAACCGCTGTACACAAAGTACTCTGTTAAGCATTCTTTGGGATACAAAGATAAATCAAGCATAAACTGTCCTTAAGATACTTACAGACTAGTATGGGGAAGTAAGATATAACTTAGGTAAGTATACAAGGAGTACTGGTTTAAGAGTCACAGACAATTTTAAAGTGAAATTAAGAAAACAGTCCCACTTACAATTTCAAATGCATCAAAGATACATAAAGTACCTAGAAATATACTTAACAAAAAAGCTCAAAGCTTACAGTCTGAAAAATACAAGATATTTGTTAAAAGAAATTGAAGATCTAAATAACTGGAAAAACACCCCATGTTCATGTGTTCATGAATCAGAAGCATTGTTATGCATTCCTGAAAAGGCAAAGCCCCCACATTTATCTATAGATGCAACAAAATCCCTATCAGACTCTCAACTGACTTCCCAAAATTGAAAGCTGATTCTAAAATTCATATAAAACTGCAAAGGACCTGAAATAGCCAAAAACAGAGCTATTACCTGTTTTTCCTCATAATAATGAGTATATTTTCTGGAACTAGATTGCTTGGGCTTGATTTTCAGTGATGTCACTTGCTAGCTATGTGATCCAGGTCTCAGTTTCTCCGTTACACAGAAGTGGTGTAAGAATTATATAAACTAATACAGAGAAAGTGTTCACAGCAGGACAGGCACGTTGTAAACCTTGTGTTTGTATAAGTTATTATTATTGTTACTGTTATTATTATTATTATCACCTCATGGAGTATTGTGAAGCTCAAATAAGATAATGTACATGTGGGTACCTGGGTGGCTCAGTCAGTTAAGCATCAGACTTTTGGTTTTGGCTCAGATCATGATCTCACAGTTCATGATTTCTAGCCCAACATGGGGCTCTGTGAGGACAGTGCAGAGCCTGCTTGGGATTCTCTCTCTCCATCTCTCTCTGCCCCTCCACTGCTCTCTCTTTCTCTCTCAAATAAATAAACTTAAAAAAATTTTAATAAAAAAAGATAATGTATTTGAAACTTTTTATAATGTACTGCTATTATAATTTTGTATTATAGTGACAAGTGAATCCACCATCCTTCTAAAGTATAGAAGAACATGGATTATTACTTAATTTTTTAATGTTCTACATTACACATAATAAATGCTCAAAATATTATATTTTAACTAAATGTTACTTTTACGATCAAATCACTGTGGACTTTTCGTCAGGAATAGTCTAAACATCATTGCATCAAGACCACTCACAATCTTGCTATAAAGTAAAGATCGACTATGTCTACCAGTCCATCAGTGGTCTTAAAAGTGGAGTCACAATGGATAATCCACTGCAATGTGCGACAAAAATTTTAGGAATTCTATCTACATGTGGTTTTTATCTCATCCTTTGTAAGTTTTCTTCTATTTTATATATATCTTTCTTAATGCATGAAAAAATACTATGAAATGCTCTAATATGTAAATAAATGCTAAATGTGTACTGGACATGTAGGCTCCTAAAACTTTTACTAATGAGTGTACTGTCTACAGTCTGGAGATCAGTGCACTGTCCCACAACATGGTCTCTCTCCTAGGGCCATGCTAATCTATTCAACTCCTCATGGAACCCAGCTTATGTCTTTTGATTCCCAAATCTAGCTCACAACCAGTGTGTTTGTTTTGAATGACAGTGTGGCAGCTACTCCATATGAAGTGCATACTTCACACCAAGACTTCACGATCACCAAATGAAAGCTTCTTTAAAAGAGGTTCTATACCTAGTCTGTCATTATATCTACCTTGAAACCCCCCACCACTTCACCACACAAGAAGGTTTTCCATAATAACAGGCTCCAAATAGATGTTTGCTTCATGAATAGGCTAACACAGATATTGACATCAAAAGGCAGCTGAGTGTGCTGGTTAACAGCAGAGGCTCATATCTGTATTCTGCCACTTACACAAACTGGAAGCCCCAAGCGTCAGATTCTTTCTCTGGGAAATAAAAGTAATAAGAGCACCTTTCTTATAGGTATATTGTTTATTTGGCAAGCACCTGAACATGACAAGCATTTCATAAATTTAAGATTATTATTTACTTGCTTATTATTATTTACCATTATTATGGTGTCCTTGAGACTCAAACACAGTAATGTTCACCAAGCATCTAGTACACACTGAGTGAATGAATATTATTCATGTTGGTATGAATAATTCCCTGTGACTTCTTTCTCCTTCCCTCTACCTTATCATCTCACATTTATAAACAACTTTCTTGAGACTATCATGGCACTATTCGCTGGAATTGATTAGTTCACATACTCTTCCATGTCTTGTGAATTAATCTCTTCAGCCATATTTTGCTTTGTTTTAATAGTATCATTGTTGCTGCTCTTGTTCTTGTTGCTGCTGTGTGGTTTCATGAGATAAGCTCCTCTAAATTTCCAGGAAAAATGTGCTATGAATCTGGTAGATAAAACTCTCCTTTTGGATTGCTAGTAGCATTTTTTTGCAACTTTACACACATATAGTTATTTATAAATGTAGGACTAATACTAGTTGATTCCTTGCCCAGATAATAAAATTAGATAAGATCATCATCTTGACTCAAAAACATTAATTTAGTAGCATTAATTAATGTAGAAAATGTCAAAAATGCATGAAATATAAAATGATATAATTACCATTTAGTGTACACTTCTTTTTCCTTGTCAATGGGCAAAATCAGGGACCTCCGTGGTCCCTGTTCAATATTATCTTGAACTTCCCATATCTGTCCAAGAGGTGAAACTGTGAATTTCTCAGTGTGTCATGTGCTATTTCAGTATAAGCATGTTGGAGGAGATGATGGTGGAATGGCAGGAGGGATCATATTAGATAATTTCTCCCATCTCATGAACATTTGAGAGGGTTCCCCTTTGCCATTTGGGGCTTCAAAAACCGATTTTCTGTTAAATCAACACATCTGATAATGTTGATACAGCTCTTATTGTCAAAAAAAAAATCATCTTTGTAGGTGGCATAATTGTGTAAAAAATCCGAAAGGATTTTTCCTCCTGGAACTAGTAATTATAGTAAGGTTTCAGGATACAAGGATAATATACAAAAGTCAATTGCTTTCCTAAATATCTGCAATGAACGATTGGAATTTGAAATTCAAAACACAACACTATTTACAGTAACACCATAAATATGAAATACTTAGGTGCAGATCGAAGAAAATGTAAGCAGGATCTATATGAAGATCAAATATCAAGCTGATGAAATAAAGCAAGATCTAAATAAATAGAAAGATATTTCACAATAAGACTTAACATTTTAACAAATGTCAGTTTAGATGTGAGTTCAGAAACTTCATCAATCAATATGTACAGATGGCAATAAGTATATGAAAAGATGTTCAACATCTTATGATATTAGAACTGTTGATTATAACAACAATGAGATGCCATCACACACCTATTCGAGTGGCTAAAATTAAGAACACTGACAACACCAAACGCTGGTGAGAATACAAGGCATCAGGAGCTCTCATCCATTGCTGGTAAAAATGCAAAATGGTATAGTCATTTTGGAGGACACTTTGACAATTTAGTATAAAACAGTCTTACCATATGATCCAGAAATAATTTTCCTAGATATGTATCCAAATGAGTTGAAAACATGTGTTCATACAGACCCCTCTACATGAATGTTTATAGAAGCTTTATTCATAATTGCCCCAAATGGGAAGCAACCAAGACAAGTGCTTCAGACAGTGAATGGAGAAACAAACTGTGGTATATCCATTCAGTGAAATTTTATTCAGCAATAAAAAGAAATGAGTTATTAAGCCACAAAAGAAATCTTGGAGTAACCTTAAGTATACATTGCCAAGGGAAAGAATCCAGTTTAAAAAAGCTACATACTGCATGATTCCAACTATATGACATTTCTAGAATTACAGACACCAAAACAGATTGGTGGTTGCCATGGGTTCAAGGGGAGGGAAAGAGGGAGGAATAGGATTTTTAAGGGCACTGAAGCTATTTTCTATGATACTGTAATGGTGGATATATGATACTGCATTTGTTAAAACCCAAAGCACTGTACAACACAAAAGGTGAACCCCCATGTCAACTATGGACCTTAGTTAATAATAATGAATCAATACTAGTTCATCAATTTAACAAATGTACTATGCAAATGCAACTCTTAATAATAGGGGAAATTGCACAGAGGAAGAGTGAGTATGTAGGAATTCTATACTTTCTGTTTAACTTTTCTGCAAGCCTAAAACTGCTCTAAAGTCTAAAATATATTGTAAAAGAAAAAATACATAATAAATTTAAAAATTTCTTCACAGCAAATTACCTATATGTGTATAAAAATACCTATATAATATATATGCATGTGCACACAGTCAGATAAAATAACCATGTATCTCTTTTCATGACAACTTTTTAATGTTGTATTCTGTTATTTTCCCTTTTTCTATTTCTGCAGTGACTAACCGTCATCAGGAAGTGAGGAAATGTAGATAGTTATGCTAAATTATGCTTACAAGAAATTTACTAGTGAAGGGAACTGGGCTGAAATGGATAGTTGTAGGAATCTAAAGGTCTACTAAAGAATTATTTTAAAAGGATATAATGATACCAACTATAGAAATATGAACAGTAGCTCATTAAATTTTGTTCTTTAGTTATTCCACTTTCTTCCAAGGAATACAGATGGATACATGAATGTAAAACTGTTAAAATGTGAGAAAAACAAGCACATACCAAATCATTGATGCTGATCATTAGAATGTGCTGATATTCTCTTCCGTCTTTACCTTCAATATCACAATCAGATGATGCTACTGGCAACAGAACAAGGATCAGGGGAGGAATTCCAAAGATATACCTAAAAGAAACTAAATTGAACAGTGAGTAAGAATAAGCTAACTGTTGTAAGTTATATTATATAGTTTGATTGTGTTGTTTCAATTGGCCTCATCATTTCTTTCTTTTTTTTTTTTTTTTTTTAATTTACTTTGAGAGAGAGAGCAAGCACAGGCGGGGGAGGGGCAGAGAGAGAAGGAAACAGAGAATCCCAAGCAATCTCCAAGCTGTCAGTGCAGAGCTCCGCATGAGGCAGATCCCATTAACCTTGAGGTCATGACCTGAACCAAAATCAAGAGTCAGACACTTATGGGGTGCCTAGGTGGCTCAGTCGGCTAAGTCTCCAACTTCCACTCAGGTCATGATCACACGGTTCGTGGGTTCGAGCCCCGTGATGGGCTCTGTGCTGACAGCTAGCTCAGAGCCTGGAGCCTGCTTCTGATTCTGTGTCTCCCTCTCTCTTTCTGACCCTCCCCTGCTCACTCTGCCTCTCTCTCTCTCCCTCAGAAACAAAACATTTTTTAAAATACTTAAAAAAAAAGAGAGACACTTAACCAACTCAGCCCACCCAGGCGACCATTTATTTCTAATGCGTTTTTAAAATGCATCTCAGCTTTTGGATAGTGTGGGAAAAACCCTAAACTTCAATATTATGTAACAACCAACGTAGGATTGCATTTCAGAGTTTAGATATCTCTCACTTTTTTATTTAAAAATTACTCTTTGGAAAAGCACCAAACAGGTGCGATGAAAGCAGTCTCTTTGCCTCAGGAAAGTGTCTAGGGTATAAATCAGTTTATTTAATCTCAGTTTATGTTGAGCATTTCTACAAGAAAAAGCATCTACAGGTAAACAGGTAAGTTACAGGTAAAAAAAAAAACAGTTAAAAATTTTTGAAGTTTTATGATTGGTGGCATGCATATTTATGTAAACCTTGATGGCTATCCAAGTATCCAGCTGCTTCTGGGGGCAGCATTGCAGGAGGTTTATTTCCATGGTACTGTACTGTGATTATAGTCTTTCTTTTTAATAATGGACCTTAAAGAGTTTAACCTTCCCAAAATTGTGACAAAGTTGACGCTTATATTTTGATACTTTATCTTTTCGTTTTCTAAGTGCCCAGAGACCAACATTTTCTTCAAACACGGCTCTGTCTAGCTTCTTGACCTGTTAGAAAAAGCCACTAAATAAATTCACGACTTCTTAACTAACGATTTATATCTGTTTTTGATAAGCCTTCCCAGCTAGAGACAATTGTCTAAACAAAAGGAATTAAATTAAAAATGGTATCATTTCAGGCAGTAATAATGCCCTGATGGAAAGCCAGTTACTCCCAGAGACATTAAAATCTGGTTATATATGGACTTATTCTTTGTAAACCTGCCAAAATGTCTTATTTGTATCTTTCTGCAAACTCTTGACCTAAGTTGACAATATATTTCCTGTGAATTTCTAAATGAATTTTAATTGTACTTGTTGACTGCAAGACGTTTCACATCTGTGTGTTTTCTGATTCAGACTACAAACAATACTGCCTGGTACCCAAGGACCTAATATTGTTACAATCTAAAGACTGTTAAGTACATCATAAAGTTCCCAATAACATTACCATCTATTATATCATTATCTGTCATACAAAAATCAATAGCACTCTCCAATAAATTTTGAGCTCTTAGTGACCCATATTTTTACAAATAGAAGAAGTAGGCTAAATAGCAGGTATAAGAACAGATATGAATCCTCCATCTCCTCTTCATATATCACGGACACTTGACAAAGTAAGACAAACAAAATGAGACAAGGAGTTTATTCATAGCTCTGAATAACACAAGTGTTTATCTGCGTTCAAGCAAAATTTACATAGATTAATAATAATGATGATGATAGTTATGTTTGAGTAGGTATCATGTGCCAAGCACTTTGTTACCTTATTACCTACATTATCTGTAAAGATCAAAAGACTCCTGCAAATTAATCCTTTTTGTAAAAATCAGACAGTAGGTACCAGGTCCAGATTCTAACCTGAGTTTACTGCTTCACCAGGATTTTATCAGAAATGGCCATAATCTTTTATAACATGTAATTACATTAGTCCTCTGAATGTAACCCATCTCTTTGTAATATTACACAGCTCTGCCTCTCTCTTGTATCACTGTTCTGCATCCTGAAGTTTCTCAAACAATAATCAATCGCTATTTATTTATTGAATATACTGGATTTGTATAGATTGCATACAGCCAAATTTCATTTTTTCTGTCTTGTTACAGGTATCCAAAGGTAGATTTGGAAAGAGTAGATGATAAGGAGAAGTTATACCACATACAACTTAAGGGGAATATAATAAAATAAATAAATAAATAATAATGAAAAAAGAGACACTTTCACTATTATAAATAAATGCTATTTTAAAGGTCCACCCTTTATGTTTTAATAGAGGAGGTTGTTTTACTTTCTATGAGTAGCACGTGTTGTGTCCTCTTCACCCTAACTTTCAGTAACTAGTGTTCCCCAAATTCATTATCAATCCGTTTATTCACTGAATGACATTTTATCAGGGCTTTCAATGATGACTTGGCAGAAAACTCAGTCTTTTTTATGTATTACAGCTAGTTTCTCAATTCTGAAATAATTTGTCTTGCCTGTAGAGAGTGTCTTTTGTCGCTGTTGTTGTGAAACAGGTCAGCTCCAGATGGACTAGAGCAACACAAAACACAGAGGGTTTGGAGTATGGAGACTTCTGGAGGTTTTGTCTTGCTCTGACAAGGGCTTGTATGACAATGGTTTGTGAGATTGACTGAATGACAGCATCTTTTAAGTTTCCTTTAGCTGATCTGTAAAATGAAATCTTTAGACTAAATGATCTCTTAACATCCCATCCAACTTTCAAACACCGTAATTCTAAGAATCTCTCTGGCCATCCAAATGAAGCATTTCTTTACACTTGAAGTCGCTTCTGGACAGTACTGCAAACAAACTCAGGGCTTCAGACTCACATCTCTCAGGTTCCCATCTCTTGAATTAACAATTCGCAGTTTGGTCTGCAACTGAAGTCTTTTCTCCACATCATCTAGAGAGTGAGCATATTAATATTGCCTAGTTTGAGAATGCTCTTGACATTGTTGTCACAAGAGGAAACAAACTCTGCTTTTATTCTGTTTTGTTTCAGGTTATACATAGAAACGTACCCCTTTCCCAACCCTGAACTTTTCTTTAGGTTACAGAAAAGGCAAACCATAAGGAATAATGCAAGGCAAGCTTGGGCCTGTGGAATTGTCTTTAGATTTCCTGAAGGGATTGAAACTGGAGAATTTGTTTTCAGTAGGGAATTTGGTTAAACCAGAATGATGACTGTCTAAAGAATTCTTGTTGGTTTTTAATTTAAGCCAAACAATACATTCAATCCTCAGCTGTATAAGTTATGGGGTCAAAGTGAACATAAAAAAAATTAGTTTCTACAGGAGTGCCTGGGTGGCTCAGCAGTTTAAGCGTCTGACTCTTCATCTTGGCTCAGGTCATGATCTCAGCTCAGGTCATGATCTCAGGGTTCATGAGATTAGCCCTGAGTCGGGCTCTGTGCACACAGCATGGAGTTTGCTTGGGATTTTCTCTCTGCGCCCCCTCTCTCAAAATAAATAAACTTAGAAAAAATTAGTTTTTCTCCTGTCTATCAAATCCAATTTTTCATCAGCCTTTAAGACCAATGAGTGCTTATTTAATATCCATAATAACATTTCATGGACCCATTTTCACTGGGAATTAAAAAAATACTCAAAAGACATTCAGGATGAAACAGAAAACATGATCTGAATATATAAGACTTGACTTTAATATGAACAACGGACACAACCAAATTGGTGCACAAAGCACACAGAAATTTAATAAACAGAAAACAACCATGTGTCATATGGAAATCATTTCCTTAACGTTACAAACATATATTTGATTATCTTCATCTAAAGAAATCTAATATCTGTCATAACCAATATTAAGACTTTATTGTAAACTCTATCCACAAATCCCATGATAAGCCCTTAAAGGTATTTCTACAGCCGTCCTATGATTTTTGCATATAATATGTCATTTAATCTCATAACCTCTTCAGTAGGTAAGTGCTACCAACTAGTCACAGTTTTGCAGGCAGAGAATCCGAGGAACAAAGAAAGTTTTCCTCATATATAATGAAAGACAGTATGAAGAGTTCAGAAATTTAGCTTTTAGCCACCGTATACTGCATCCTACAAAAACAAGTGTGTGTGTGTGTGTGTGTGTGTGTGTGTGTGTGTGTGTAGTCAGGGGGAATGTATAAAAACACATCTTTTCTCACATGAACCTAAGGTGCTTCCTGGCAAAGCTCTGAAACACTGCATCATACACTCTTATTTCAGAAAACAGACCCTAAATATTTGCTCTTATTACACTAGGTTATGTGTCAGAGGTGAGATCCTTAAAAATAATCTCATGTGCATGAGTGTGAATATGACATATAAGTTGGTCCCATAAAATAGCCTTTTCATTTTTGTTTCAGATATGGAAACATCAATGTGGCACCATGTGTGATTCTCTTGTGTTCCTGTTCAGGCTTTCTCATCATTCTCAGATCCCTGTCTTTACTATTCCATTTTTAGTCCTCAAATATGATTACATTACCTAAACTAGAAAGTATAGTTGAGAACCACATAGGAGAGCCTCGACTAACTCAACTCCCAAAAGAAACAGCAAAAAAAAACCCTCTTTACAGTAACTCTATCCTTAAGCTTCTAGTAAAATCTCTTGGAACAAAATGCAAAAGCCACACATTATTACGAGAAGTTCAGAATTCTATTACTTTGTTTGCTAGTAATAACTTGCGGTAAATGAACAATATAGATACACTTCAGGAAATAAAGCTCCCTGTTAATAAAGCACACACTAGCTTCCATTTTTTTCTTTTTTTCTTTGCCTTTTTTTTTTTTTTACCTCTCCACTTCAAATCAGAGGTGATGCAGGGATCAGAACCAAGAGCTATAAGAAAGAAATAATCGCAGGAGATCCATGGCATTGTAAGGAAGACCGGGATGTACCTAATTTCTAGTTGTATACTAAACTTCTGGAGGGCACCTATTACAAATCTTTTTCCATAATTGTCCTCCATACTCTATCCCTACAACCCCCTTGATTTTGGTACTGATCTGCAACTTCTTCGCTATGCCAGTTCTTGATTCTTTAATAACCTATGAAAGAGAGGAAAGACTCCTTTGATCTAACGGTGTAGCCTGGAAAGCGCACCGAGCAGGCGTGAAACGGAAGAGCAAACTGCTCCCTACTCCCGCCCCCTCCCCCACCCGTCTTTTTTTTTTTTTTTTGGCTTGAGGAAGTATTCACTATAAACCTTTCTAATTTCCCTCAGCAGATCTTCGCCCCATCACGTCTCATTTTCTCCTTTTTTCCCCCCCTTCCAGTAAACTTTTGGGCTCTTTTCCTTGGCCATATGGCTGCCACCGGAATCCAGGTCCCTCGACTCGGCTCTGACCTTGTCCTTTTTACTCTTTGTCCGTAGTCCGCACAAATAAAATACACTGCATCTCTGCAAAGGTCTCGAATTTGAACTTACGCCTGGTTAATTCTGCCTCCTCCAAGGAGGACCCATATAGGAAAAAAAAGCAAAAACCCGAAACTCGCCTTCTCGGTGCCAGCCCAAGCACCCGGGTTCCCAGCAAAGGGGACGCGGCACAGCCCCAGTCGGAAACTCCCAGCCTCGCAGAGGGGGCGAAACGGGGTTTTCCAGAGACCTGTCCCTTTAGGGTTTAAAAGCGCGTCCCGTGGGAGCTTCGCTTTCACTTCTCTAGAGAGTACGGAGCTCCGGGAGCCCAGGTACTGGCCCCCACCCGGGCGCCTGCTGACCGACGGCAGCGCTGGCTCGGGAAGCCCGACGGCGAGCCACTCGCTGCCTCTGAGACCTGGTTGCCACCGCTGAGCGGCGCCGAGGCTGCAGCGCTCGGGCTGGGGCGCCTCGCAGCCGGCCAGGAGCAGCGGTCCCAAGTGCAAGTGGCTGCGGGCCAGGGTACTGAGGCGCGGCTAACGCCTGCCTGCGAGACAGCCAGTGCTCCCGGCAGGTCCAAAGTGCAAGGCTGGACTGTCCCGGACGCGCCGGGGCGCCGGGCCCGGCAAAGCGTCCTGGAGTCCCCCGGCGTGCAGGGCGCGCGAACCTGTGCGCCTGGAAGAGGAGCCCTTACCATGGAACATGGTCTGCGGGAGGCGGGCGTGGTCATGATGACCGCAGCTGCAGCAGGAGCAAGCTCTCACCGCCCATAGTCGCTGCCAGGACCCTGGTCTTCCGCGGAGGGGCCGGGAGTCCGTGCGGGGCAGGGCGGTCTCTGCGGCTGGTTGCTTTCACCCACGCCGCGCCTGCTGCTTCATCCATCCCAAGGGGGGCGGCACACACCACGGCCCGACTCTGCGCTTTGCCTTTCCCATAACTTCCGTAGGATCCGCCGGCAATGTACTTTCAGTTTCTACTTTGCGCTGGGTCTGCAGGTTCGATCTTCGGGTTCAGCACCCGGGCGCCTTCACCGTCCCACCTCTCTGGAGCACCTGCGTCCTGCCCCAGCTCTTTCCGTGCACCTGGACGCACCAGAGGAGGGCGCGAATTTCCAAAGCACCACAGAAGGAAGGAGATGGCCTTCTGAATGAGAACAATTCGAGGCAAAACACTTTCCAAATGACCTCTAACCGCCTTGGCAAAGCCAGGCGACTGGGATCTAAAAGCATTGGTTGCTAATGTGTCCACGGAAGCCTCAAATGTGTAGGACGAAAGCTCGGCTATTGCAAGCCTACGACGCCACAAGGGAGGCGTCGCCACGGATGTAGTGATGCCAAGTCGTCTTGGGGGGGAAAAAAGGAAGTACAGAATGTTTAACAGGGTCACGCCCTCGGCCCCTCAACCTCTGTAATCAGGCTCTTTCTGCCCTGTGGTTTGTAGATGCACCTGCCCAGGTGAGACCTCAAAGAAAAAATAATCCTGTGAGTGCATCTAATCTGGTAAGTGTATGTTTGGACCCAAAAATCAAAGCCCAAATTGAGTGGAGGAAATGGAGACAGACTATAATAGTCGATAACTATGACTTCCACGTACACATTTATCGGAATTGGGCAATAAATCACACTATCCATTTTGATTGTGTTTTACTGAAGAGTTCATTTATTTTTCTAAGCTCGAATTATTTTAGAATTTCCTGTCCGAATTTGTTTTCTGATATTCTGCAGGAACCCTGCTTAAAGAAGGTGGGTACTGTAAAGTGATAATAGTGATGATGACAATGGCTGTCATTTATCTAGCATTTGCTTTGTACTAGTATTGTACTAAGCATTTTCTGTATATCGGCTCATGCAAACTTCTCTGAGTAGACAATTTTCTTATCTGCACTTCACAGATGTGGGAATGGAGACTTCCTTAAGTAACTTGCCAGAGTTCACTTAGCTAGTTGGTAATAGAGCTTGGACACAAACCTGCTGTGTTTTGGCTCTAGAGTTCATGCTTGCAAACTCTGTGTTAGTGGTCCTTGTGAATAATGTGGAGATTGATGCCAGCAGGGTAGCAGGGTCAGGTGTCATGTGGGTGTGTCTATTCCCCATTGTGGGGACCTCAGGAAAGCTTTCTGAAGTTTCTGAGTTATAAACGGAGACTCAAGCAGGAACGAAAGTAGGGCTGTGAACCTTCCAGAATCTATTATCACGTGAACAAAGAAAAGAGGAAAAGAAAGAAGGGAGAAAGAAATAGAGATGAACAGTGAAGTAGAGAATGAGACAGAGTTGCTCAAGCCGGACGGTTGGATCTCTGATTCTTCTTTTAGTCTCACTTCTCACATCCAATCCATAAGCAGATCTTGTCAACTTTACCTTTAAAATAAATCCTGAATCCAATCTATTATGTGAATTGCCTGTGAGCAAATCATTAAAACCCTGCTGTCCGGGGATCATCCAGCTTTCACCCTTGCTGAAGACTCCTTCACTTTCCTCACAGCGGCAGGATATTTGATTTACACAATACCACCTTCTGTGGTCACCCTCTGGTTACTTTCCAGTGCGTACCAAGCCCTCAAGGTTCAGGGTGATCTGGGCACTGCTGCCTCCTCTGACCTTCCCTGCTGCACATCTCACTATGGCACATTTTTCTTTCCCGAGCCCAGCCTACATCCACGAGAAGAACAGTATCCAGGACACAGACATTCAGAAAGTATTGTTGAGTGACAGAATGAGACAGGACAATTGCATGAGAATGTATGAATGAGAATATGCATGAAGAAGATGTATGTAAAGGCAGAGGGAACTAGAAGGAAAGAGGAAGAGAAGGGGGGAAGCAATAGAGAATAAGAGACAGAATGGGGTGGGAAAAGCCAAGTGTTTCCATTTGACTGGAACCTAGAGTGGGAAATGGGGAGTGGAGAAACAGGAGGCTGGAGTGACTTTTAAAAATGAATTCTGCAACTAAACACACTTGGATTGGTTATTTATAAATTTAAAATCCCTGATAGCACCACTGAGGTATGTAATTGCACATAGCCTACACCTTTAAAAAATAAAAAAACTTTTCAGGGACAGATAAAAGAGCATCCATCACTAACTTGCTCAAGGAGAAATCCGTCTTCCTTTTTCATGCAGTCATAAAACATGACAGAATAAAGGCTTGTGCATAAATGAACTTTTGGGAATCATGAGGGAAAATTCTGCAGAGCTTCAGGAGAGGACATGTAAATTCCTCACTAAATTTTGACCCCAAATGTAAAGAATCACTCTGAAGAAAATATTCATAATGAATTTGGAATTGTTATTGGTATGTGAAAAAAGACACATTGTACCTACATTGAGTTATTATTTTTCTTTATATAAGAGAATTAATACTGTTTGGAAAAATATTCCAAAATGAAGTCTTAAATCAGTGGTTGATATTTTGAGAAGCTGAACATTATTTTTTATCAGACACATGGATAAGGGTTAAACAATTTATGGTTTTTTTATATGCTCATGTTTTATGATTAGAGAAATGGAGTGGTTACTATAAAGTTCACTCATAGAATCCATGAATTGTGCAGAAAAATCAACATGGAAACAAAATAGTACATCGTTTATGAATTATAACCAATAAATATTAAGAGGGAAGACATCATCTCAGAAAGATTTATACAATGTAATAGAAACAATTGAAATAAAACGATATGAATGTCTACTTAAAGAGAGAATTGTTAAAGGTTAATCAATGTCTTTTTAATTGTTCTACAATCTTCAGTCAAATTAATCAATTTGTGGTAAACCTGAAGATATTTTCTTGATTAATTATCTGAACTATTTGTACCCAATCTAATATGACTATTGTTTATAGTCTGAGATCTGAGTGCTAGCTATCTTTCTATGGATTTAGAAAAAAATTAATGTTTTAATTTTATTTTTCAGAGAGACAGAGAGAGAGAGAGAGGGAGAGAGCATGAGCGGGGAAGGGGCAGAGAGAGAGGGACACTCAGAATCCAAAGCAAGCTCTAGATGGTCAGCACAGAGTCCAACATGGGGTTCAAACTCACGAACTACAAGATCATGACCTGAGCTGAAGTCAGATGCTTAACCAACTGAGCTACCCAGACATCCCTGTCTATGGATTTTTTATGAGGTAACTATGACTTCATTTTCCAGGCATAATGCTCAATATATTTCAAACATAGACACACCACACACACATAAAGCCTCATACATACTGAACAGTTGCATAGGGGCCTATGCATGGAAGATCTCCCTGCTTAATTAAATACTCTACTGTCACTATCTTGAAATTCTTAATTATTTTTGGATAAGGGGACTTTCAGTTTCACTTTGCACTGGGCCCTGCAAATTCTGTGACTGATCATGCACACACATATATGCATGTCTTCAAGATGGTTTCACTCTGGTGGGGAAATGTGTGTTAGATGTGTGACTTCAAAGATAAAGAATATTATGAAAGGGAAAGGATGAGATGTATTTCAAACAGGGTTTAAGGCAATCTTGACTCATTTTAAAAATTAGTGAAACTAGGATCTAAAAAATGTTAACTTACCTCTCTAATGGAAAAATAGCTGTAAGTAGACAACTTATAATTCTAAATCATATCTGTTTTATTTTCAAGCCTGAGCTTGAGGATGGACTTTGAATTTTATCAAATGAGTACTGAGCATCTATTTACATGGTCATGCTTTTTCTTGTTGTATTCCTGAATAAACTACAAATTTACCATAATGCTAAATTCAAGTTGCTAATATTTAACTTAGACTTTTACAATCATATTTATAATTGGTATATGTTTGTTCACATATTGTATTTAATTAGACTTGGGCTGTTTCATCATATTTTCTTGGCTCCACAAAGGGATATGGGAATTCTATTGTTTTGTAAAACCGTAAATGTTTAATCATTATATAGACTATTTGTTTCTGGGTGACTGACTAGAGTTCAACAGTAAAACATACTGAATTTCATGGGCTATAGCCCAGGGATAGAATGAGACTGTCTATTTCAAGCTATAGAAGAATCCAAATAAAACGGCCCTTCTGAGTCTGAATCAGAATATCAGGAACCCTACTGTAAATGTGTATGTCAGCATATCACTGATTGCTTGAGCCATGAAAATGAGTGAACTCATCCAACTTAGAAGAGATAAGAAAGAGAGAAAGCTAATGCCAGGGGGAAACGTGAGACACAAACATTAAGGTTAGATGGAGAGAGGGTGCACACCAGCAGACTAACAAGTAGTGGACAGCAGAGTGGGAGAGGCAGAAGTCGGTGTCCCAGCGTACGATTTCAAAATAGGTTAAGTAGTCAGTATTTCCAAATGTCACAAAAAGATCGAGCGAACTGAAGATTGTAAAGGGTGTCCACTAATTTGGCAGAGTAGAGTTTGTCTGTGGTTCTCCTGACAATGATTTGAGAAGAGCAGCGTAGAGAGAAGCTATATTCCAATTTGTGGGCTACAAGGGAAGATGCAAAGAGAAGAGACAGCTTTTAAAAGATCTCTGGAAAGATAGAAGAAATCAGGCAATGGTTTGAAAGGCATGTAAAGCATAAAAGAAGTCTCCATTTTCGTGCATGAGAAGAACTAAAGCATATTTATATATTAATTGGTAAAATTAGGGTTTTTGGAAGAAGCAGGAAAGGATGGAACCGACCAACCCAAGATACATGACTTTTTCATGTGCACCCTTCATTTATCTCTCCTCTTTCATTTCAGTCCTTAAATTGTGTAGTTCTAAACAATCAGAATCCATTATAAATCTGGTGTCTAATTTCATGTTTCTTATTGAAATGTCCTCTATGACCTCGCCTGAGTACTCTGGATTGAATATTGGTGAGGGTGAGGGCAAAATATTTCCCAAATTGCTGTTCAGAGGGAGGAGTGGTAGCTTATGTAGTTTGCATCATCTAGTCCTTTTTTACACTAATGGGTATGTTATTGGCAATTAGGGGTTTCTTTTATGTACTAAATTTTGGAGGGACTGTGC